TAGCTCACTGTCCCACTAGCTATAAAACCAGGGAGATTCAAACACAGTGTGATCTAATACCACAGAGCAACCTTATCTGTCATCCAACCCCAAAACACAAATTCCTTGCTTAAGTGAAATCTATCTATCACTATGGTTGGCTGTTTGCTTGATTAATTTATCAATGATTTGTTTCTTTATGTCTCCCTACCTAGCCCAGGCTAGTCTCAAACTTAGAATCCTACCTCAGCCTTCTGATTGCTAGGATTACAAGCAGGCAGATTGGCTATTCTGAGGCACTGAATAACACATATACACACACTCAATAAGCTTTTTTTAAAAATTACCTTAATTTTATTTTATGGGCATTGGTGTTTTTGCCTGCATTCATGTCTGTGTGAGGGTATGACCTGGAATTGGACTTACAGACAGTTGTGAGCTGCCAAGTGGGTGCTGGGAATTGAGCTCAGGTCCTCTGGAAGAGCAGCCAGTGCTCTTAACCTCTGAGCCATCTCTCCAGCCATCACCACCCACCTTTTCTTTTGTGAAACAATAAGAATTCTTTTTCAAAATTTGTTTTTTTTTTTATCTGCATTGGTGTTTTGCCTCTATGTATGTTTGTGTGAGGGTGTCAGATCTTGGAGTTACAGACAGTTGTGAGCAGCCATGTGGGTGCTGGGAATTGAACCCAGGTTCTCTGGAAGAGCAATCGATGCTCTTAACCACTGAACCATCTCTCCAGCCCTCAACAAGAATTCTTAAAAGGGACCATCACCAGAACTACAGCTCTGATCCTCATCAAGAACAAACCTGTAGCCAGGCGGTGGTGGGGCACCCCTTTAATCCCAGCTCTCGGGAGACAGAGGCAGGCGGATCTCTGTGGGTTTGAGGCCAGCCTGGTCTCCAGGACAGCCAGGGCTACACAGAGAAACCCTGTCTCAAAACCAAAAACAAAGAAAGATTCTGGCTGTGACATATGGCTGACAAAGCTAAGAACTGGCTCCAGACACATCTCCATATGAATGCATTCTTTGTCTCTATCTAAGCCTCACACTAAAGCAGCATTCCCAGGTATTTTTACCTTTAATATTTTCTTACCTTGAATTAAGTTTTTTCCCAGTTCCAAACCTTATCACGCCCAAGCAGATTATTATGGGAATTAAGCAAAGCCAAGGGTCCAAAGCTTCCTTCACTTTCTCAAGGGATCATTTTATATTCCAAACATGATTAGACTAAAGTCTCTCCTTAAAGAGAACATAACACCATTTTTCTTACATTTTAAGCTTCAAGACACAGAGATAAACAGAATGGATATAAACACACTGCTAAAGAAAATTCAATGAGTTATTTTAACTTTAGCAGCACCGTCTTTTCAACCAATAAACTGTAAGTCAAAGCTTTGCACAATTGTTTCCTTGAAGATAAATCTTAATTTCCAAGCCATTTAAATAATACCTGGAGACAAATGCAGATACACCCATTAGTAGTTCTATACATAGCCTCTTGCCTCCTGGGAAAAATTCTTTGGGGAACCCCAACTACTGCACCATGCAAATTACTGACTGCACAACCAGACAAGAAAACAGGCATGTTAGATCTGGAGGTGTAACTCAGTTAGCAGAGTGCTTTGCTCACATGCATGAAGCCCTCTACACTGCAAAATTAATGTAGTAAGAAAAGACTGTAATCCCAGTCCTTGGCAGTCTAAGGCAGAAGGATCAGAAGTTCAAGGCCAGAGGTGAGGAAATGGCTCACTGGGTAAATTCCTTGCTGCACAAGCATAAAGACGTGAACTTGGGAATCAGGAATGATGCATACTTTTGATCCCAGCACTTGGGAGGCAGAAGCAAGGGGACCTCTGTGAGTTCCAGGCCAGCCTGGTATACATAGCGATGGAGTTCCAGGACAGACAGAATCACACAGAGACCCTGTCTCAACAAAACAAACAAACAAACAAATAAACCAAAAATAAAACCAAAGCCAAACAACAACAAAGCCCTTGAATTTGGGTTCCCAACATCCACATAAAAGCCAGGTGTGGCAGGGAATGTCTGTAACTCAGTGCTAGGTAACAGAAACAAGCAGATCCAGAAGGAGGGCAGGCAGGAGTTTGCTCTGCCCGAATCAGCAAGGTCCAGGTCCAGTAAGAAATCCTGACTCAAAAATAAGGTAAAGGGGTTGGAGGGGTGGCTCAATGGCTAACAGCACTGGCTGCTCTTCTTGGGTTCAACTCCAAGCATCCACACAGCAGCTTACAAGCAATTGTCTATTAACACCAGTTCCAGGGTATCCCACGCCCTCTTCTGGTCTTCAGGGACACTAGGCACACACATGTTCCACAGACATATACATGCAGACAAAACATTTATAATAAAAATTTTTAAGTCTTTAAAAAAAGGGGGGGTGGTAAAGAAGCCGTTTGAAGAAAACATCTTGATGTCAACCTCTGGCCTCCACATGAGGTACCTGGACCGGTAAACCTGCACATACATGTGCACACAGAAACATATACCTTAAGGCCAGACTGAGCTACACAGTAAGGCTCTATCTCAAAACAAAACAAAAACCAGGGAGTAAAGTATAACAACTTATAAAAAGCCTTTTAAAGTGTTTACACCTGGGAAGAGAAGAGAAAACGTAGGGTATCCAATGGGAGAGAAACAAGCCAAAGCACCACAGTCTCCAAGTGGTGGTCTTGCTACTTCCCCGCCTTGCTGGAGAGCACAGCAAACTTCACAGGTGTCATGGACCACATCTATAACCCAGCACAGCGAAGGCAAAGGCAGGGGACCTCTTGGGTGTGACAATAGCCTGCTCTATTGCATTGAATTCCAGGCCAACTAGAGCTACATAATGAGACCTGGACTCAAACAAAACAAACAAACTGCATTTTATTCAATATACTAGCTGCCCATGATTTTTAACAGTCCATTTTCAGTAAAAAGTTAGGTAAAACACATCTGGAGGGCCCTCTTCCCTTCCCAAATTAAGCATGATTTCGACTTTAGGGATAAAAGCATAATAAATGAAAAACCCAGAGCCAACACAGGATTAGTGTGAATTTCCTTTCTGTAGATAATTCTACACTAAGACTACTTGAAATGTTAGGTGTATAAAATATGTATTCATGTATGTATGTGTACATATACATACATGGAGACAAAAAGTTCCTTTCCTGATCTATATTTCCATAACTGGGGTGCTATTTTTTCTTGTTTTGAGACAGGGTTTTGTGTCGCCCAGGCTGGCCTTGAAGTTCTTTCTTTTTCCTCCATCTCACTCGAGCCCCCTGGACACTGGGCAAGCACTCTACCAGCTAAGCTACAGCCCAGCCCCTATTTCTGTAATACTTGACTCTCATCCCAATTGTTCCTGACTGGCCAGAGATAAAATATCATCAAAAAATTACTCATCCAGCTAAAACTGTGACACAGCTGTGGAACATCAATTATATCTTCAAAACTGAATTCCAGATACAACAACCACTGGAAATTAAACCTGGATTATTAAAATAAGTGAATCATTTTGGTTATTTTAACAAAATGTTGTCAAGAATCTAGTATCATTTCTTCTCACACAGCTCTTTGCTAATCAACATCAAGATGAAACTGCTCCCACACACCTTTGATTGAAAATGAACACTCGCCAGGCGGTGGTGGCACACGCCTTTAATCCCAGCACTCGGGAGGCAGAGGAAGGTAGATCTCTGAATCTGAGGCCAGCCTGGTCTACGGAGCGAGTTCCAGGACAGCCAGGACTACACAGAGAGACCCTGTCTCAGAGAAAAGAAAAAGAAAATGCACACTTAAAGCAGAGCTACTGAAACAGGGATGGTGGCTGTTGTTCCGGCACAGAGGAGGCAGAGGCAGGTCAGACTGCTGTAAATTCCAGGACAAGCTGGCTACCAGGCCAACCAGAACTAGACGAGGAGACCTCTTAGAAAAATTATAACAAAACAAAAAACAAAGATACCATGAACACTGCTATCCAATAAGCACACCCTTTGTTCCTAGCATTATAATTTCTGGGCATTTTACCTTCAACTGATAACTTTCCTTCTATTTAAAATATGTAAATCAGTTCCTAATTTGAGCTGTCGAGACCCATTTATAGCAGAAAGAATCCAAGTCTAGTGCAGTGGTGCACACCTGTTAATTCCCAGCCGTTTAGGGAACTAAAGCAAGACGGTGGGAAGTCCATGCCAGCCTGAGCCTAAACTAAAGAGAGTTCCTCTTATAAACAAACAAGTGAATGAGTTAAGTTACAAAAGCAAAGGAACTCCAAAAATCATTGTCTAAATTGTAATGCTACAGTCACTCAATTAATAGAGATTGGGAAGGAGAATCCTTAAAAAGGCAAATTAAACTATCTGTATTTTTTTTTAAAGATGCAGCTTTGGTTTTCTGTGACAGAAACAAACACTTTCACAAAACCATGAATATCACTAATCTACGAAGACAGACAGCAAAGGAGAAGCTGATAAAGCCTTCAAGTTCGGTAAGAAGGTAAGTTTCCCTGCTCTAGCTTTCTCCCATATGATCGAGCCAATACACAAAGCCTGCGACAGTGTTCTCAGGGAAGAGACTTTACCAGAGTTAATCGCTAACAATTATCAGGATTGCTTTAACTATCAAGGCCGGAGGGATGCTCCCTCTTTCCACCAGAACCTCCTCCTCTAAGATTACTGCCGCTGATTAAGACCCGAAGAGGAGAATAAGGGCAGCCTTAATGAACGCAGATGCTGTATAGTTTAAAAAACCCAAGCCTAGGTTTTATCTTTTCCCCGCCGGTTTACTGCATCAGACACCACAAGAAAAGGGCTCCTCTTTTTTCCATCTGTGCAATTTACTACGCGGCCGACATCTACACATCCGTAAAGAGGTAAGTGTCCTGAATCTCCTTAACCAGCTGCAAGGATGAAATGAAGAGACAGAAAGAAGGATGAAAGGTAGAACTGGAAAATAAAAACAAGGTGATGAGACGCAGAAATCATACTTCCCATTCCATTTCCCCTTTCTTACAAGGTTAAGTCGGCTAAAGTCCGGGTGGCGTTAGGAAAAACACACACACCTTGCGCCCTGGGCAGGAGGTGAGGTTGGCTCTGCAGCACTCAGTGGGGCTCCGGGCTCCGCCCCGCCGGCCTGGGACAGTACAGCCCTGCTTGCCCTAGTCCAGGGAGGACAGAAGACAGGGGGCTTCTAGCGGCTCTGGCAGGGGGAGGGGGAGACGGCTACTCCGGGTGCCAGGCTCACCAAGAGCGCTGCACTCCTCGGTGCGCCGACACCCCCTCCCCCAGCCCGCTCCGTCTCGCTCCCCTCCGCCGCCGGAAGCCAGCCCCGCCCCCTCAACTCCATCCTTGCTCTTTGCAAGCTCCCTCCTGTCTACACAGCCAATCGTCAGCCAAGGAACCAACAGAGCGACTTGCCACACAGCCAACTGGGGAGGCCCACTAGGAGGTCAGTCGCCGGGGATAGGCCAGCTACCCGCGGCCCCGGCCCCGGCACGGCTCCTCTTTGTTAGCGCTGCCCCCATCTCTCCTGGTGCCCACACGGAAACCCCCAGCAGCCCGGCCAGGTGATGCCGAGTCCGGTTCCTCTCCTTGCTCCTCCACCCACTCGTCCTGCTACCGAGAGTGACCAGCTCTCAGGTGTTTCCTGACAGAACGATTCAGACTTCCAAACCAATTAACCACCAGAAGACACCCAACCACAAAAGGGATGCTCTCTCCAGGCCCTCTCTGATTTACACTTATCTCTTTACTCAACCTAATCAACTTCATTCCATTAAAACGGTGGAAAGATTTAGGTATTAAATCAACTGCATCAGTTTTACCTGTTGGAAATTCCTGCTGTTCCTGAGGGAAACTGAGGGGAAAGAGAGTACTGAGAAAGTATGTACCTGGAAGTTGGTGGAGTTGGGGAGGAGGGGAACACGTCAAATCTTCTGCAAAAATAAATAAAAGCAAACATACAAAGATCACGAAGTTGGCTTCAACCTGTACCAGATCCAAAGCATCTACATCCAGTAATCCTGAGATGACCCACTTCCTTATCTGATTTCAGTATAATTAAGATACAGAAGAACCCCGTCTCCTTAAAACTACATACCCACTATTGCTTAAAACAACACCACTCACATTGTACAACAGGAAGTCTATATCCAAACTTTGATTGCTAATGCCAGTGTTAGGGGCACATTGTGGCTGGGATGGAATATGCTAAAAATAGTACGGTATAATTTCTTGGGTTGTAATAGTGAAGCAATATATGGAGTTCATTTAACAAAAAACAGAGGGAGTGGTGTCCTGGGGATGTGCTTGATTGCTAGAATGCTTGCCTAGGATGCAGTAAGCCCAGGTTCAGTCCTCAGAACCCCATAAAAACCAGGCATAGTGGAGAGGCAGTAGGATCAGAAGTTGGAGGGCAGCCTAGGCTATGAAAACCCTGGGGAGGGGATGGGTGTTGAAGAGTGCATGGGCCAGTGGTAGAGCAGCCATATTAACTAATTTAAGGCCCTGGGTTCCATCACCAACACAAGAAGAGGTGAGAAGATAGGAAAGGGAAGGGGAGAGGTGGGGGAAGACCAGAGAGAGAAGTTCACAAAGACAAGCTATTATTATATAGGCTGGTCATTTGTCCAGCGTTCTTGTAATTAGTTGCAAACTTAACTAACACATTCTCTAACCCCATTTACTTCTCCTGCACTGATTAAAAATTTAAACAAAGCAAGGGTGTGTGTAGCTCTGTGACAGAGCACTAAGCTTAGCACATTCACTGCAAATTAAATAAATAATATAAATAAGAGAAAAAGAGCCAAGTATGGTGGGCTGCAGCTGTAATCTCAGCACTCAGGAGGCAAAGGCTGAAGATCAATCACTCCAAGTTCAAGGCCACCCCGTTCTAGACAGCCAAAGGACTTCATATAGAGAAGTCTTTCTCAAAAAGAGAAAGGGCTGATGGCTTAGCTGGTTAAGACTGCTCTTCCAAAGGACCCAGGTTCAATTCCCAAAACCCACATGGTGGATCACAACCATCTGTAACTCCAGTTCCAGGAGATCCAAAGCCCTCTTCTGGCCTCCAAGGGCTTCAGGCACACACGATACAGAAACATACATATATGCAGGCAAAACACCCATACACATAAAAAGTAAAATAATTAAAAAAAAAGTCGAGGATAGTGGCGCACGCCTTTAATCCCAGCACTCAAAAGGCAGAGGCAGGTGGATCTCTGTGAGTTAGAGGTCAGCCTGGTCTACATAGCAAGTTCCAAGACAGCCAGGGCTACAAAATAAGACTATGTCTCAAAAATAAATTAATTAAAAAATAACAAGGTTTAGGAATGCTACTTGGTGGTGGAGCATTTGGCTAGTACAAAAACATGTATTTACATAAATATATAGCCTTATGAATACGATGTTCAGTAGACTGGAATAAAAACAGTAACAAATGGTATAACCTGACAAGGAACTAAGTTATGTTCTGTGTGTTTGTGTGTGCGCGCGCACATGTGCGCATGTGTATATGGAAGCCAGAGGGTGATGGGTGCCATTCCTCTACTACTCCTGTATTTTGTGTATGTGCCTGAGTATATGTATGCGTACCACCTAGATACAAGTGCCCTTAGAGGCCAGAAGAGGGTGTCAGATCCCCTGGAACTGGAGTTGCAGGCAGTAAGTGTTTGCTGCATCTATGTCTGTGCACCACATGTGTGGCTGGTGGAGGAGGCCAGAAAAGGGTGTCAGATCTCCTGGAACTGGGGTTACAGACCATTGTGAGCTGCCATACAGGTGCTGAGACTCAAACCTGGGTCCTCTGCAAGAGCAACAAGTGCTCTTAGCCTACAAGCCATCTCTTCAGCCCTTCCTTTATTTTCTGAACAGGGTTTCTCACTGAACCTGAGTCCAGCCACTCCGGCTAGCCAATGAACTTCGGACATCCACCTGTCTTTATCCCACTGTCCAAGCTCTGGTGTTGCAGACACTTTTTAGGTGGATCCTAGAAATTCTAGTTCAGGTCCTCAGGCCTGCTGGGTAGGCACTTACCAGCTAAGTCATGTCCCATCACAGACACATCTAGAAGGACATGTGAAATCCATAAACTGTACCTTTCTTTGGGAATCATTTTGTTCACTCATTCACACACATAAAAAAATTACTGTGCTCCTTAATGCCAAAACGCCATTAAACTCCTGTAATAAAAACATAAATGAGCGCCACTTGAGTTTGAGCCCCAGGACACATACGGCAGAGGAGAGAACCAACTACAGCACATGGTCCCTGACCTCCACACATGCAGCGGCTGCACATGTGCATGCCCCCCCAGTAAATGAATAAATGAAAAAACTTCACTCTTGTTTTTGAGACAGGATCTCATTATGTTGACATGGCTGGCCCGCAACTCGATTTGGAGACCAGGCTGGCCTGGGACTCACAAAGATCTGCCTGCCTCTGTCTCCTCAGTATCCAGTTACATTTCTTTTCTTTTCTTTTTTTAATTTATTTACTTTTATTTTACGTGCATTGGTGTTTTACCTATATGTCTGAGGTTGTCAGATCCCCTAGAACTGGAGTTACAGAGAGTTGTGAGCTGCCATGTGGGTGCTAAGAATTGAACCCAGGTCCTCTAGAAGAGCAGTCAGTGCTCTTAACGGATGAGCCATCTCTCCAGCATCCCAAGCAACATTTCTTAAGTAATAATAGTAAATCGGTGTTGTGGTTCATGACTATAATCCCAGCACTGGGGAGGCAGAAGTAGAATTGCCAGGAGTTTCCCAAGTCATAAAACAAGAAAGAGTACTCTAACAATTAGCTTACCACAAACACTTTTGTTAACTGTTTTTGGTTTTTGTCTATGACCTTGAACTCACAGAAATCCTCTTGACTCTATCTCCCAAGCACTGTGGTGGCACATGCCTTTAATCCCAGCAAATGCAGGCTGATTCCTGGGTTTGAGGCCAACATGGTCTACAGACCCAGAACAGTCAGGTCTATTTATTTGCCTTATCTCAAAAATAATAAAATAATTTGAGAGAGAGAGAGAGAGAGAGAGAGAGAGAGAGAGAGAGAGAGAGAGAGAGAGAGAAAGAGAAGCCTAAACCTATGTCAAGAGAGATCTTGGAGAGCTGAACATGGTGCCTTAAGCCTCTAATTCCTCAATTGAGGCGACATCTGAGTTCTAGGAAAGCCTGGGATTACACTGTGAGTTCCAGGCCAGCATAGGCAACAAAGTGAAACTATCTCAAAACAGAACAAAACAAATAAAGACAAGGACATCTTAGTTGGTAAATCATTTCTACAACTAAATATTCAAGACACCATGGAAAAAGACCTTAACTGATAAACCAGAATAAATGCTTGAAGTCAGATAAGGTAATCAAAAAGAACACTGTGTGGTACAAATTTCCCTAATCCTCAAAAGGTCTCTACATTTGTGGTTTAGGATGCTTGGGCTATGTGTATGTTGGGGTGGGAAGCTAGGGGGATAAGTTGTTAGTTAATTGCTCATACTGATGGGGTAGCACATGGCAGAAAAAGAAAAAAAGCCAACATCTTGAAAAAGTTTCACACACATACACAAAATGAGACAGCAAACTTGCGAATGAAGCATGATTTGGCATCTTTAAATACAGAGCCAATTTTCTTTAGTGCCAAAGCCAATGGCTTCTCCTGTAGATAAAATGGCACAGTTCCTGAAAAAGCCCTGGACGCTGTTTCCCCACAATCCTATAATCTGTCAGAAGACAGAAAACAAAAAGAAGGCTGTGCCAGCCAGAAAAAGCAAATTATAACCAACACAGAGCCAAACTTTATTTCAGACAGAAGGAGCTGTTCTATGTGTCTCTGAAAGAGGAGAAACAAAAGAAGCTTACCACTGCTCCAATAACCAAGGGCAAGCAACTAATTTAACCAAACACCATGTTGAATTAGCATTTGCTGCAAGAGGCTGCCTTCTCACTTCCTATTCATAGCCTAAAAGGGTATTTGCAATGCTTATTAAGAAGAGTTGATGCCAACAATATACAAAGAATTTTTACATGCCCGAAGAGAATAATGTAGGAAAGAGAATAGAAGCAAAGGAGAAAGTATTCAAAGAGCATGAACTATTAAGCCATGGAAGAAATACTTAAGGTCAAGGACTGAGTAGAATCACAGGCCTATAATTCCAGCACTTGACAGACAGGAAGATCTTAAATTCAAGGTTATCTTGAACTACAAAGGGAGCTTGAGGCCAGCCTAGACCAGAGACCCTTTTAAAAACATGGGGTGGGTGGCCCACCTGGAAAGA